CCCCCTCTAGTTAGCCCCCCACTCTTCCCTTTCCTCGTTTCAAAGTGCCCACCGAAACATCCCTCGACGCTGGCTGCGTCTGCTGCTGCCGCTGCGGCCGTGGCGTGCTTTGAGGACCTGACACGCCGCGCCAAGTCACGCTCCGCAAAGCAGCACTGGAACTCTCCCGAGGGGAGCATGGCTAAAGCTGTGGCTGTGTGACCAGCCCCGCGCAGCCCCGCGCAGCCCCGCGCAGCCGAGCCACTCTGTTGACATAACACTACTTCCACAACTACTGCGAGGCCGCTGTAGCGTCCTCGTATTTGCCAGGCCTCTTGCCGACTTATGCAGATCTGTCAGGTTCGGTTTACCCGGGTTTACCCTTCTCTCATATACCCAACGTGTCAATGCACCCTCTTCTCCACCTCCCCCCTCATTCCAACCAAAGAAAAAAAAAGGAACATTCCCGCGTCTTGATTTATGTAACGAAAAATGACCTCGACAGTAGTTATAGATTTACTGGAAAGCGTCGTCGTATTTCCCTCCGATTGTGCGTCGCCTTTTCGTTACACAACCGGAGGAGGTCCCTGCCGAGCCTGCCGTGCCGATCGCCTGCCGATGGCCCGCCCCGCTCAACGTGACCCGGCCCCGGGCCCCGAGGAGCACCACCACCACCACCCTCCGCTCCGCCCACCGGATCTCATTTCAAATGCCACGCGGGGCGCGCGCCCCCGCTTGTTGCCGGCTCACTTACGGAGTCAATCACTTTCTGACTCGACTTCTTATTCCCAGCACTGCGTAGCAGCTAAACGGAGCAGTATCCCCCTCCTGCACCCTGGATCGGAAACCTCAAGAACAACAAACGCTGCCTTTGCTATGGTCCAGAGAATCCTGCTCCGTCCTATTGGCACATCTCGTCGTCACTGTTAGCGTTAACTGGCCCGCGTCGGCCCATCAGGAAACATGATTCACGATCGCGTTGCTCTTTCTCCTGGTTTGAGTCACATTATTGAATACTCGGATACTTTGTCAGTTTATAGTTATTGGTCAGATGCGAGGTCACGCGGCTTAACCACCCGAAAGGTTTGTAGGAAATTTTTCGGGAATTGTTTCACTTTCTAAAAAAATTTTTATTGAAAGATTGTTTGTTTGTTTTTCAAAGTTTTCTGAAAATATTTCTTTTCTGGAAAAGTTACCGGTTTTATCCGAGACAAAAATCGGACTTTTAAATCCGTATCGTCCGTGTCGGGTCGATCACGACGGATCGGTGCCGTGTGGGGTTGGGGATAAAAGAGGCTGCCGCCGGCGGCGTCGTCGCGTGTGCAGCAAGAGAATCTTGCAAACGGAGCCAGACCCGGGCCCCGGGGGGCCGCCGGGCGCAGTCGGGCGCCTGGCCGCGTCAGTCTCCAAACTTCCCTCTCCGCGGCAGCGCGAACGCCAGCGCCGTGCAAACTGAAACAAGAAAGAAGAAATAAGCGATGAGGGTAATCGTGCAGGCGCCCGGCCCGCCCGCGGTGCTGCCGCCCCGACTATACGCGCTCGTGTGTGTTTGTGAGTGGTGAGAGGAAGGCAGGGAATGGGGGTCGCCAGCGAAGGGACGCGCGCCGCGCAAAACCGACAAAAGAAGAGATTGGCGCGATCATCAGCGCGCTTCTTGTTATGGTAAAGCGTTGTGTTGTTAGCCGCCCAATGTGCTGAATAATGCATGGCCTCGGGGAGGAGGAGGAGGCCCAGTAGTAGGGCTTGGTTGGAGGGCTTGGAGGGCCTGGAGGTCCTCGAGGCCCCGGGGAGCTCCGCGAGGCCTTTACGTGACGCGGACAGCCGGGGCGCACATCCCCGTAGCTCTTTCCCACGGGCATTATTTATACCCTCTGCCTCGAGAGAAAGGGGTAACAAAAATCAATTGGGTCAAAATTCACCAAACTTGGCCTGCATGTTAAGAAGAGTAAACCTTTGTTACTGTCGAGTCAACCGAAACTAGATACTTTTTACTACAAGCTGAAGAGTGACCTCCAATCGACGTCCAAGGAGGGTGAGGAGTAGCGGTGAGTAGTACACATCTCGCCAAAAGCAGAGGATGCCCGTAGGCCCAAGCCCTGCGCGATCTCCTCCTACTCCTCGACCCCGCCGCGCCCTGACCGGAGATTGAATTTCTCCAACGCCCTCCTACACCCCTCCTCCTTCTCCTCCCTCCAACACATTCGGCTTGTTTGCGCCCCTGCGCTGCTGCTTCCCGATATACGCTGCGGCCGCCACCGCCGGCACCAACCGCCCGGAGGTAGGCAACACAACAGGCGCGGTATCGGCATCCTCCTGTCCTCCTGCTCCTCCCCGGTGCGCCGCGCACCCACACTCCTTTTCGTCGTTCAGGATCGCGAGGTAGATCACACGTGTATCGCCGCATCGAGCGCGCGAGTTTGTCGGTTTTGCGTTGCTTGATGCTGTGAATAAGCTATGAGTATTTTCTTCCTCACTACTCCACCCCCTCCCTCCCCCTCCCCTCCCTCCGGCCCACGGAAAAGTTTGTCACGTAGTTTTATCATCGCGAGGTTCCGGCTCCAGCAGCGGCGGGGAGGGGAAGGGAGCGGCTAGGAGAGCTGTGACGGGGACGGAGGGGAGGGGCTTCTCCTTAGTCGCATAGCCCGGCTGAGCGACATTGCGTGGACACAAAGGGCGGAAGCAGCTGAAGGGACTCAGCCCGGCCCAGCACCCGCTCCCTCCCAGCGGGTGGCCCGGTCCGGCTCAAGCCCGGCGCCGGCGGGGGACAGCTTCCCACTTCCTGGGAAACAGGTCCAGAGGGACGAGGGTGGTGGTGGAGTGTGTCCCGATGGTCCCGACGACTCACCGAGCAGCACGCCGCCGAGCGCGTAGAAGGTGGCGGGGCAGGCGGCCTCGAGCAGCGCGCCGAACATGAAGTTGCCGGCGATGGAGCCCATCCGGCCGAACATGAGCGACAGCGACACGGCCATGGCGCGCAGGTGCGTCGGGAACATGTCGACGACGACGCTCGAGAAGAGCGAGATGCACATCTCCGTGACGGCCACCACGACGCACGACAGCGCCATGAAGGCGACCGAGGACCGGGCCAGGTCCAGGGCGACGCCGCACGCGCCCGTCAGCAGCAGCGAGGCGACTGGGGGAAAGAGGTTTAATGTCAGCAGCACGCTGCTGTGGTTTTTATTTTGTCGTCGTTCGCTCCACTTTTTTCTTCATCCCCCTAGGCGCATTTGCCCCGCGTCCGTGGACTCACTAAGCAGGTTTCGCTTCCCCAGGGGCACGACGGTGTACACGCTGAGCACGGGCGCCAGGAGCGCCGCCACGCCCAGGTACAGGTTGTTGACGAACACGGCCTCCTCGACGGTGGCCACGCACGGCGCGGCCGTGGCGGAGGCGTTGGAGTGGACCGTCAGCGAGTCGGTGCCGTGAAGGAGGCCCTCCACCGACTCGCAGATGCTGGTGCTCGCCCCTGGGTGTTCGCGCTCGTACAGCGCCATGCGGTTGAACAGCTCGGGGAGCCACGTAGGCAGACCGTTCGCTCTATGAAATTAAAAAAAAACCATCAGTGAAAATTCGCAAAACAAATTCAAAACGAGAAAAATTGAGAACAGACTTTGGGAACTCATCAAGTTAGTGAAGTACCCCTCGTACGCGGGTTAGAAACACTCACCCTGCGATGATGCCGAACATGATGAAGAGCGACAGGAAGGTGGACAGGAGGTGCTCGCAAGTGAAGAGCGGCGCCGTCTGGTTCCACACGGAGCGGAGGAGCCCCGGGTCCTGCACGGGGCCGTCCGCCGTCTTCTGGGTCGAGGCCTCGCTGGTGGCCGGCATGAGGCCCGTCACCTGCGGGAGGATCAAGGACGCGGTCAGCTCAGGTCATGGCGCTCCCCGCGCTGCGCTTTGGGACAATTTCATCACGGCAGACACTTCAGGACGCAACAAGTTATCCTATCGGAGAAGAGTCTTCCCTGCCCCCGGAGAGATAATCGTTTATTTACACCTTTGGCCTTGATCCACACGTAAACACGACATAATCCGCCTAATCTACTAGTGATCCACAATTAATCTAAGTGATCTACACGCAACCAAATGGGTGTAATCAGTAGCTAAGACAATATACTTTCTCATAAAACTCGGATCGCAACCGAAAAATGTATGTTTCATAGCTCGAAATTAGCTGATTATAGAGTAGATACATTTCACTTTTGACTGATTTTAGGGGTAAAAAATGTTCAACCCCTGGCAAGTGCGATGGTTTCCATCGCACTTCACCCAACCTATCAGAAAATCAGTCAGGGTGGTAAGAGCTTCTTCTAGAGTTTGAGAAATGTCACTGCAATTGCTTGAATTCCCTTGAAATTTGCTAGTGGGCCAATGTGCCCCACTCTCCCCTACTCACTTTTAGGCAGGTGCTCTTTTTGTCCTTAAATGACATCCAACTATAGCCAGCCAATAGTCGGAAATAATGAGAAAACACGCTTCAGAAAGTTATCAGCGACTTAAATGTTCAGCTTTTCAACCAATTTGACTAAAGTGGCAGGCACAAAAAAAACACCACCTTTTAGAAAATGAAATGCCTTTACGGCGTCTTGTATATTGTCCCGAAACACGTCTGTTTTTTATTTCCTTTGTGTTTTTCATTTATCGAAATCCGGAGGGAAGCTCAGCTCCTGCGAGATTCGGGGTAGGCCATCCCGCCATACCCGCATGCACTGCCGGCACGATTTTGCCTACCCACCAGGCGCTATGAGAGCTTGCAGTGGCTGAACTCGGCAGGTTCGTAAACGGCGAACACCGTACTTTTCTGACCGATCCCTTACCGGGTACTCGCTGGCCGGCCGGCCCGAGTTGGCGCTGAACACTCGCTGCAGCACGCGGAGCGCGTCCTCGTCGCGGCCGCGACTCAGCAGGTACTTGGGGCTCTCGGGCAGCAGGCAGAAGCCGAGGGCGGTGAGCAGCGAGGGCATGCCGCACAGCACCACGTACACCCGCCAGGAGTGCGCCTCGCCGACGAGCGGCAGCGTCACGGCCCAGGGCTGCGGCAGCACCAGCCACCCCATGGCCGGCAGCAGCAGCAGCCCCAGCGCCGGGAACACGCCCGCCCACACGAAGGCCCTGGCGCGGTTGTCGGGCGAGTGGAACTCACCGAGGTAGGCGTACGCCACCGCCTGGGGCGCCGTCATGCTGTGGACGAAAACAAAGTCATAGTCGAAAGGTATGTTTCCCGGACATCCGCCACCGTTATGCGAACCGCCCCCTTGCTTACAAGAAGCCGCTAAGGAACTTGAGCGTCACGAAGGTGGCGAAGTTGGGCGAGAAGGCGGCCAGCACGGCGACCGCGGCGTCGGCGAACAGCGTGAGCCGGATGATGTTGCGCCGGCCGCGCGTGTCGGCCAGGTAGCCCCAGAAGTGCGAGCCGAAGATCATGCCGATGTAGACGATGGCGCCCAGCACGCCCTTCTCCAGGTCCGACATGCGCAGGTCGCAGGCCGCGGCGGGCAGCAGGTAGCTCGGCCCCAGGATCTCGCTCGTGGTGCAGGTGATGGTGCTCCCGCTGATGATCAGCAGCATCAGGTGGAACCGCCCCGTGCCTGAGAAAGCAATTACCCAACTCATCAGTCAATCTGAGGGGTGCGGCCGGAGGGGGTGGGGGTAAGGTTTCACCGACTCACCTGTGAGGGCGATGGCCTCCTCGTACGGCACGACCCCGCCCATCCTGACGACGACGGTGTTTGAGTCACGACGGCGTCCTCGACTGCGACCCCCGGGGGTAGACGTCGCTCACTGTTGTTTCAGAGCGCACGCCCCATGCTCCGCACGCGGGGGGAGCGATTGCCAAACATACGCGCGTATGTGGGCGGTCGCGGGCGGACGGTAGCGGCGGGCCTGGGACTGCTGCTGCGGCGGCGGCGCGAAGTGCCAAGCCGAAGAGCGAGCGTCCTCTCTCATTATCATGTGCTGTCACGTGTCTCCCCCCACCCCCCTCAAGCTTAAGAGTTTAGAGACGACTCGCATGCCGTAATGTTTTTGCACTCTCTCCGGAGGACTGACTCTCTGCTTCCTCCCTCGAGCAGGGCAAGAGGAAAGGGTAGGAAAAGAGAGAGAGAGAGAGAGAGAGAGAGAGAGAGAGAGAGAGAGAGAGAGACTGGCGCTGGTGTAACGTCATTACGGAGTGAGACGAGTAGACATTCTCCCGCGGGGCCAGGCGGGTGTAGAGGGGGGAGGGGATGCTTGCAATAATGTTGGTTCAGCGGCGTGTCCCCGGAGAGTGAAGCAGAGTGGTGCGGCTGGCGGGGCGCGGGGGAGGGCAGAGTTGTGGTGGCAGACGTGTGGTCATGTTAATGCCACACTCAGCGGGTAACCTTGGCCCCGAGGAGGGATGGAATTTATGCGGCTCGAGCCACAGCGGCTGCTGCAGGGGTGGCGGCGGCGGCGGCTCCCCCAACAGCAGCAGCCCGCGCCGCGGATGCGAGGTCCTCAACGGGACGACGACGAGGGCGGCGGGGCGGCGGCCTCCGGGACCTCCACGTCACCGCCGAGCAGCGTCGCGTGGCGCCACCGCCGCCGTCTGTCAATACGCAGCGGGGCCCGGCGGGGAGGCTGTGACGGCGGTGCCATAAAGCGTTATCTCCCCGCGAGTGAGCGCGGCGCGGGCCTTGGCTCGCCGAGGAGCTCGCCGAGGAGCTCCGCCGAGGAGCTCGCCGAGGAGCTCGCCGAGGAGCTCGCCGAGGAGCTCGCCGAGGAGCTCGCCGAGGAGCTCATCACCGAGGACCACATCACCGAGGAGCTCGCGCTCGCCGAGGAAGTTTCGAAAGACGATTTTTGTTCTCAAACGCCTTTCAGCTTTTAAGTCGACAGTTCATAATTTATTGTTGAAGTACTCTCTTTGAGGATAAATTTAAGCTATGGGATGCAGCGGGATGCAGAAATCTACAAAAAAAAAAAAAAAAAATAACTCTCTGCACAAAAAAATTAAGTTTCATAAACTTTTAAGTTACAAAATTTCTATGCATGTTTATAGATACGGCCATTTCAAAGCTCAAATGAGTTCAGTGAGTACTACAACAATTAGGCTATAAACCAAATTTTTAATAATGTTCCGTAACTAGATTTAAAGGTTTCCAGTACTGTCCCCTTAAAACTCGAAAAAATAAACGCGCGATTTTATCGTTAACATGACGTGTGTCACGTCACGCCTGATAGCTTTCATACATTACACGAAAGTGCTGTCCTTCAAATCCGTTTCCCTGTAGTACACTCCCATCGTTGTGAAATTATGATACCGCCATTATTAACACGCCATATACCTAAATCGTAGGCGCGTGCAGGCCGCAGGCCGCAGGTCGCACATGGCTTATGGCTTGGATGGCAGCACAAACTTCAGTTTTGGACGGGGCAGAGTAGGAGGCCGGAGACTTCGTCCACCACCACCACGGACAAAACGGCTGGTAGGGCGTCTTTAAAAGTTGCCTTCATGAGTTCCGCTTTACTTCAATGGCATTCGGCGTGATCCAAGCCAAGATGCCATTCCTGCTTGTGGTCCTTCTCGCACTCTTGCGCCAGAAAATAACCGACGGTAAAAATATCAACTCTTTCGCGGTAAGTGAGAAAGTACCTTCGTTGAACGCCTACTTAAAATTTGAACTACAAAGGGTACAACCACAAAGTTTGTTCACCGTAACATTTCCCTTTGTCCTCTGTTTAATCACGGAGATATGCTTCGCATCTGCATAGGGGCCTTTCTCACTTTACGCCGAACGCTATTACATGTGTGAACTAAATCGCTCGCTTCCGTGGGAATGGTTTATCCATGCTTCTCGCTTCAACCCGTATAAACCAAGAGAAAATCAAAAACTAACCGGCAACTTCACGGCTAGGAATTTGCCAGCTGATGACAGTTGGTGGGTAAGTCATCGCTTCTTTTTATACATAATATTTTATTAAATAATTGGGGGATTGAGAAACGATTACGTGAGGCTGTACCATTTTTTTTTTTACTAAAACAGGGGACAATAATATTGGATCTTTGGGCAAATAACCAATGGAAGGAAAACGCTTTTGTTTTTACTAAGAAAAACGATGCATGCACGGCTATAAAAGTTAATATCCCCGGCTTTTACGAACTATTTAATAAGAAGAGAGAAACTAAAGGCCGTTGCATAATCAAACAAGTAAGCACCTATACTGCAGGTTTGCTCTCCTCACAAGCTATTGTTTTCTAGTGTTTGTTTTTTAAATTTA